AGAAAAAGCGAGCAACGACAAATATAAAGATAATCTGTCATGACTGGGACTGTAAAGTTGTGTTTGCATCAGCCAGGGAAAACTGTCGTGAACCTGAACTTCTACGGACAGAATTAAACAGTGGGAATTTCAACAACAAACATCATCTTCTTCGCTTTAGAGAGTAACTGTGAGCATGAACTCAGCTCTGCTGTGAATGATCCATGTTGAATCAGATTTACAGCTGACAAGGGCACTGGAGTTATGTATTGTTCCATCGAAAGATAAAGCCTAGGTAGAAGTGAGATTGCGGAAATGTACATCAGAACACGCGACTTGATACTTCTGACAGCCCTCTTCAGAAGTTCGATGCCGATATTATTGATATCCTGGAGAGCATCTTGAAGAGCAATTGCTGACCTATGAACAAAGGAATAGCTGAAACCTCATTAATATTTGCCTAATGAGGCAATTGCCATCACAAGTTAGCAGATTCGATGATGATTTTGCAGCAGGTCTGTCTTAAAAAAAGACAGTCACATTAAAACACGGGAGAAAGAGTTTACTGCCGAGGGTAGTACATTCCCGCAGAAGAATGAAACATTTCCATCAGCCTTCTACTCCCTGGAAAGGGACTGCTGGAATTTTGATTTGTATATCATGCCAATAATTATTTGAACAGAAGAGATACTTTTATTAACGACCGTTTAAAATCGAAGAACATTATGAGAACAGAATAAGAAAATTTAAATTAAGTTCTGGTCATCCAATTAGACGTAAATTCTTGGTATGCCGGTGACTATGTTATTTTCTATTCCACATTCGTTCACGCCACGGTAAAATTTAACTAATCCTAAACGAATTTATGTTTGGAAAGTTTTAATGTCAAAAAATTTTACCGTTCATTCCCCAAGTGGTATTCCATGAATTCGTGATCAACCAGTATGGAAGGTCTGTACCGTTCGAATTCTCCACTCCCCAGCCAATCACTCTTACGGCGTGCCTGCCACTGTACTTTCCCCACATGTGTTTATATACTCCTGAAAGAAGAAGATTATCATTTACCTACTGACCTACGATGAATTATTGGCAAACCTTTTTTATAGTACGTAAAATCTTCATAAACGATGAAAGATGCCGTTACTGGTCCATTATTATACATTTCGTGCATAATCATGACGTCACTTCTAGGAACATGGTATATTTCCGCTCCTAAACTCATAGTATCGAGGATAAGGCAAGATTCTGATTATATTACCATAAAACACTGATTGCTCAAAGGGAATACGATATTGAGGTATGCACTGATCAGTGCATTTTGGCGTTGGAGCCATTGGGCAACCTTTGCACTGAATACTGTATGGCTGACAGCCAAAAGTAGAGCCAAAAGGGCCGCCAGTAGGAACGCCGTTTTTCTTCCAGTATGCAAATGCCTCAGCTTTATCGCCTCCATTACACCTAGAATAGACGCACTTGTTTAGTTTCGTTTTGGGGTAGCACGTACAAATATACCCCGAACCACATACACCAGTGCAGCATGCCAAAATATGCTCATCTGATATATATGGTTGAACGCTACCGCCTGAAAATGTACATTGACGGTCAGACATTACTGAGGCACTAGCAACAGCCTGAAATTAGAAAAGTTATTAATTGCGCCATTTCTGTTCAAGTTGGTCGTTACCCAACAAGAACCACAGTTTGACTGGTCTCTGATGAACTTCATCCATCTGCACTGCGGCCACTTCCGACGTGAATCAAAATTATCTGGCAGAGCACTATTTGCCATGGGAAATTTGACCGGTAGTCTAGCGCTTGATTTACTAACTTTTTCGCCCAGAAGTCTTTTAAATTCTTCTTCTGATGTTCCTTTGAAGTATTTGTTCAAGCCATGCTAAAAAAAGTTTAGCACCATAATAACGGCACAGTGTTTCGAGGTAATTAATTGCAGCTACTGTCAATGAACTGTGAAACGCTAATTATATTTTCAGCTTCAGTGTCTTAACCTCGTCTGTGAACAATAATCTGCTTAACGCCAATCACAACTCAATGTACTTTCAATTTTCAGTTTTCTCTTGATGTCTTTATCCACTTAAACTGGATGTTGTCGTGCATGATGCTGCTCTGCTGTTCTCAATCAAACTTAAAACACATGATGAAGGATTTTTTTCCTGTTTTCCAACATGTAGTCTTGCAAATAACATGTTTGATTTACTTTGTACGTCAGATACACGTGCACGTGACGGTCTTGAATATCGATCTGGCCTGAGTGCAACAGCACCATTACTTCTCCGATCTCCTACAGGCAATTAGCATCGAGTAGGGTGTAGTGGAGCCATTGTGGACCGGAAGAACGGCTTTGTCGTTCAAGCCTAAGGATGGTGCGACAGCTGGTAATTTATCAGTTTTGCGCTCAATAATTGACCAGTCCAGCATCCCACGCATCGGATATCGTCTTTACGAAACAAATGGCCATTGGCAAATTACTGAAAGATATTAACAGAGACTTTTAGGGCAGTGTGTTCCTGCCTTGGTGCGCAACATGCTGTTGAACTAATAAAAGTGGGTTCGCTTAAGCAAGAAAAGAAGGTCAAAAGTACATATTGTGCATTACGCGGGATCACATGAAGGAGTGACATTCAGATTACTGTTTTACCCTCAGCCTGAAAATCTGTAGTCGAACGGAAAAATCGGGGTCACTGTTCGTGATTATCCCAAACCAAATTAGGGTGCAATATTTGCTTATTGCCATTTACTCCCCATGATTCATGAACAAGAAGATCACAAGATGTGGAAATCTATCTGCTTAATGGATGATAAAAACGGCAGAAAAAAGCAAAATTTGCTTCGTCCGTATGGCAAAAACGACAAATCCGACAAAATTGAGTTGCACAGACTTGCGCAATGATGTTATAATTCCTCTCAATGGAGAATAGCAATCATCATTGATTATTATATACTTGTCGTGGTCAGTGGAATTTTCTGCGAACTGGCATTAAAATTTTTACTCATGTCTTCGAAAGAAGTCTGTCTAAAAGAAGAAAATAGTTTTACGTCAAGATGGTAGTCAAATAATGTGTCTCTAGGGAGTAAACTCTTTAAAAACTGTCATGGCAGGAGCATATGTTGACTATAAAGCGCGATGGAAGCATTTTGGCCAACGTTCATATTTATATGAAGCAGTCGCTGTGAAACTGAAATGTATTTATGACACTATTTACCTTTTGAATGACCATAAGATAATGGAGGGAAGATCCATTAAACGTTAAAAGCATAGTTTCAGCAAAGAAACATTACTAACATCTTTCAGCTCATCTAAACGACAAATAGCAATGGAAGTTTCTCTGATGATATTGCTACACTTATGCTTGTTGTCGCATTATTTTCAGTATAAAAAATATCACTCTCCATGAATCGTAACTCAGAGTTGTTTCCGACCGGAAGTGGCAACGATTGACATACAAATTACTTAACACCACGAAATGTGTATTACTCAGTAGCTTCGGCAGTGAAAACCCATGTCACGAACAAGAAAATAGTTTGCTTAAGAGAAAATATTAAACTCGGCTGCAAGAGTTGTTTATGTTGCTGAACAGTTCACTCCGAAGAAGGATATTTTGATAACTATAATGTGTTTTGAGGCTGGTGTGTGCATCTTTATTCCTTGCATGACAAACGCAGAAGAAAAAAATATGCATGCGTTCATCAAATGGTAGATCTACCAAACGAAGTGATCAAATGCATTCGACTGATCTCAAGCCAAGGAATGGGATGATTAGACGCTAATCAATAGTCGTTATCAACGCAACGCGTTTGATTCTGGACTGTGGTCATCTCGATCAACTGTAGCATCCAAACCACCAAGTTATATATCTATGAGTTTCCGTGAGCAAAATGTGAAACTTCTGTCAAACTAATGAATTTTTATGGCTCTAAGACTTCATCCATCAGATAACGTTCATTATTTATCCAGTAATATCTTTCAATGAGGACAATACAAAAACGACCGCAAAGTTTATTGTCAAACTGCCCAGTTATTTCACAAAATTTAAATTTGTGAATATTTAGTTTAAAGTCAACTTTTCATGGAAGAACAAAGAACTAATGTTCAAAGTAACTTTGAATATGTAGCAAAGTTTATATGCAGTATACAACTTTATTGCGCCATTTCGTAGTTATGTGCTAAGCCATGAAGGTAAGTAATAACATCGCTATTATGGTAGTCATTCAAAATGAATATTATCCTTTCGTCCGCTTCCCGATATTTCTTCAACTTTACGGGATACTAAATATTATCCAGGTCTCGTAGGTAAAAAAATGGAGTCATGAAATAAAATGCAAAATTTTAGAAATTTATTAGTTTGACAGGAGTTTCATATTTTACTCACTGAGAGCTTCTCAAGGATATATAACTTTGTGGGTTGGATGGTTGGATATTACAATTGATCGAGATGACCACAGTTCGATCATATAGAATCAAACGCGCTGCACGTTTATAACGACTATCGATCGGCGACGAATCGTTTCAGACCGCGCAAGCCATCTGGTAATGGGGCCTTCTTACGGCCAGATGATCGTTATATTACTGACATGCCGGCTATAACTTTCTGTTATGATTAAATGAGCAGATCTGAACACGACTCGGAGCTTGATGATTACACTTATAATGCAGTCAATATGATGAGATTGCCATAATCTATTCAGAGAAATGAATGGAATAAACAAGGTTGCGCTGCTTTACTCCAGAAATTATAGTTTTTCATTTCCTGACGTCATCTATCAGAAGACGTCCGTGGTTTCACTCCGCTTTACACGTTAATCTTTGTTTAGTCACCATCTAGACGTGCTTGTAAACGTAAAACTTCGAGATCTAAATATGAGCCTGCATATATAAGAACGAAGCTCTTTTAATGGAGATTATCACATTTTTTGCTCGATCTCTTCAAAACGTAACTAGATAAAGTATCAGTAAAATTCTGCTGAAGTACTTAACAACTCCACTGATAAGAGGTGCTGAATAATACCAGCATAAGAAGTACCAGTATCAGTTTTCTGAACTGCTGACACCCAGATTTACACGGTGAAAACTGTAAAGTCATTTACGGCACTACTGGGGCACTGTAAGACTGATCATACGTCTAGTTGGACTTGAACGTTGCACCACTCAGTTGTTTCTAGTAGCCTATGAAGACAATTTAAGCAGGCCGCGGCTCGATTTTATATAAATGCCTGCAAAACACAGGATGTATGTACATCGTCATTGTGTTGAGCCGAAAAAAACATACTGAAGCAGCAAAAGTAGCCAATATCTTGTCCAAATATACATAAATATTTATAGTAGGCAACCCAGACGGCATTGGGTAGCACTCAAGAATGACATTATTCTGAATCCACCGCCGGAATACGTTTTGCACAATATTGATATGCAGAAAACGACTTTAGTTTACAGCTTTTGCCATTGAAGGCCACAGTTAAAAAATAATATTCGTTGGCAGTGGAATCAGAACGCTGCCATTCTCGGTAACTATCCGGTGCCATTGGGATTATATGTCATTTTCCATATAATTATTTTCATGTTTTCCATTTCCATTAATATATTTTCATGTTTTCTTCATCTTCAGTTTAATCGATTAGGCGGTTGGACTGCATTATGAAAATCTGTCGTCGATATTGACAGGGATCTGCGACAGACCACCCTTCTGTGTTGGTTAGTAATTAAGGTGTGGTTCTGATGAATATGACGGTATTGAAGAAGCCAAAGAGACACAGCCCATCCTGACAACGAGAACTTCGTTCTTAGTTATCCGACTTCAGCCAACATAGCATTCATGATTTGGTTTACCATCGGAGGACTGTGCACGTCACAGTGCTAGCTCTGTAATGCGATTCTGCATTATGATCATTTCCCGCTCTCCGCGATAATGACTCCAAAGTTAGATGGGGGATAACAGATTACTCTTAAAAGCACAGTTGAAAACGGTTTATTCCTTGTACAATGAACAATTTCATGTCAAACACTATAAATGTCAGAAGAGGTAACAAATTGGCAGGAATAATTAATCTGAGGCTGAAACTATCATACAGCTGTATATGACACGGTGTAACGCTTTGTTAATGTTTCAGATTAATGTTGTTTATAAAGTCAGTTCGTTTCACATAGTAGTTATCTTACAATTTGTCACTGTTTTTACATCTCATCTGCAAATTGCGATGTTAATTTACGTAAAGTTTGATCATGATAGTGCTATGAGAAGTTGACAACAATGATACTGTCAGTAAAATGAAACAAAATATAACCCCCAATGAAGTGGAGTGGAAGCTTTCAATATCGCCAGTAAATGTCATACTTCAAATTCTGAGGCCGGATTTATATGGCGAAAACATACCATGCGAAGAAAGAAAACTTTTTCTATTACTTTACACCGATGACTGAAAAGAACCTTTACACCAGGTTGCACCAAACATTGCACTACCCCGTTGCTTTGAATCGCCTAGTGGATTTAATTAAGCAAGTCAGACTTATTGTT